GATCGGTAGGGTACGGAAAGGAAATTCCTAGAAGCTTTTCTTCTTCAGCTATATTACTTCGGCTCTGCTCATCAGGACCAAAATTTGTAAGTTCCTAAACTTTCTCTTTCCTTCTTCTGGGAATTTTTTTAGAGCTTTTTTGTCAGCTAAAAATTATGGGTTTGGCTTTAGTATTTTTTTTCCCAGATGGGTTTTGATTTTTTTATTGGGTTTGATATGAATAATATGACGTTTAGGGTTATTTTTGCTCTGTCTTTTTCAGTACTCTGCTTAAAGAACGGCTCCCCTGTTTTTTTTCTTTTCTCAATGATTGCTGAGTTTTGTCTCTATTGCTTTTCTCAGTTGGTATAACTATTTGAACTTGCAAGACATGGATAACATACAAGATATCACACAAGGGATACACGAATTGAAATTTGAAGCGATGGCACACTCTTTTCCTGAGGAAATCATACAAGAGATCTTACTTAGGCTATCCGTTAAATGTCTGATCAAATGCACTTCAGTCTGCAAGGCATGGAGGTCCATGATCATAAACCAAAGCTTTATTCACGCACACCTCAACCCAACAGTGGACTTTGCTATCCAGAATGACATTGACCTACTCCTACTCCACAGAATTTCTGGTGGCTGTAGCCTCACCTACTACCACAACAAGTTCTTTCACGAGGTGATTCACGAAGTGAAAGACGAGGTTCACTCTGTGCATCATGATAACCAGGCGTTTGATGTGTATTCCAAGATCGAATTTCCAATTGTCGCAAAGAAAAACTACGGCAATTCACATCTTCGTGTGGTTGGCACGTGTGATGGGCTAATTTGCCTTTCGGATGATGTCCCCTCTTATGCTTACAACTTCATTATATGGAACCCAGCCATTAAAAAGTCAGTGACCCTTCCCAAGCCTGGTATTACCTATCAGACGCATGGTGGGCACAATGCTTCTATTGGGTTCGGTTTTGATGCTACAACCAATGACTATAAGGTTGTGCGAGTTGTGACTTTATTGGACGAAGATGATGAGACGCCAACTGTAGCTGAGGTTTATTCCCTAGCCACCGGCACATGGAGGAGTCTTGGTTGTGTTTCTCCTGCATGTCTAATAGATAAAGCTGCATCCAGTGCTTTTGTTAATGGGGTTCTTCATTGGCCTGTAGCCCGTCAGACATATGTTGGTTCTTACTATATTATATTGACATTTGACCTGGGCAAGGAGGTGTTCAGTCAGATACCTATGCCGAAGATTATTCTATGGAATTTCAAGTTGGGATTGCAATTGTCTGTTTCAGATAACAGAAAATCTATTGCTTTGTTCATGAGGCCCGACGATCGTGAAGATTTCTATATGGATTATGGGCGTGAATATCCTGTTCTTGATATATGGGTGATGAAAGAGTATGGCAGAGAGGAATCATGGACCAAATTGATTACTCTCAGTCTCAATCCACAACCACAAGGTCCAGAAACAATTTTCCTCAGCACCTTATGTTTTAGGAAGACTGGGGAAGTACTGTTAGTGCTCAGAGAAAAAGAGAGGCGGGAACTAGTATCACTAGACCTTGTGAGCAAACAGTTTAAACTTCTTGGGATTTCTGGATTTAAATATTGTACTGTTGATTTTTATAAAGAGAGCCTCCTCTTACTCGACAAGAGCGATGCAGAGTCTTACTAAGAGAAAGAACAGGTAATGTGATTATAGTGCTGAGAGCAGAACATTTCAATTCTTTGTTTGCCAGGTTTTTATGTTCATTAAAAGCATGATTGGTGACTAAATTGCTGTGGGATATTTCTTATGTCAGACTTCTTGTGGGTTCTTTCTTTTAGCTGATTGTCTTTCTCGCTTCTGTCGCTAGAACACAACTTGTGACTAAATCAACACAGCTCTCATCTCATGGAGACTCAATTTGGATATCAAAAAGTTAAAAACAGTGTAATTATAATAATATCAACTCAGCTCTCATGTAAACACGATTAGACTGGTCTTTTATGTGCTCGTAGTCTTAGTCAACTTGGTATGACTTTAGACATTGGACTGATTGCTGCTACTGTATTGAAGTCTGTGTATTCAATTTACATGGTTTTGTTTGCTGCTTTAATCCATTTTCCAATGTTTTCATTTGTACAATAGTTTCTTTTCCAATTTAGCTTTCATTTGAGTAAGCATGAAGAGGAAGTTTGATTTGCACTTCTGAAGAAGTACTGGGAAAAGTTTTCATGACAAGTGATGTCAACTCTAATGCTAAACAATTGATTAACGCACACTTTTCTTGTTTTCTTTTCTTGCTGATTTGTAGTGCAGTAACGTTGTTTGCTGAAAGTGCCTGATGTGCCTGATGCCTGATGCCTGATGTGCATCAACGTCTGTTTCTTGTTATCTATGGTGCTGATGTATTTTCGTTTTCTTGTTCATTTTTTTGGCCGATTTGTAGGGCAGTAGTGTCCTATGCCTGAAGTGCCTGATGTTTCTGTGTATTTACTTGGCATGGAACTTGTTATCTAGTAGTTCTTGCACGATTTATTCTTCAGCTTTTGGGAAACTTCAATGGAAGTATCTAGTTACAAATTTCAATTGCCTTTGCAGTTCTCTGCACCAGTTTCCATGAAATGCTTTTGCAATTTTCTTTTCCATTTTTATTGCGTATTTTTCCCTGAGCTGAACAATTGACAGCACAGAATTCACTTTTAATTAAGTAATGAAGGTAATGAAGGTGTTTTAGTTGACTGCATGCCTGCAACATATGTTGCTTGTCTATTTTTGCAACATTAAACTCAACCCCCATTTGACATTCGACTCAATAATAATGAAGGGAACTCACTTCGATTTTTAAATTTCATTAAAATTCCCAGAAGCTCGGACAAAGCACCTGGTTTTAGAGGCTAGAGCTGTTTCAGCATTTGAATTAAGAACTAGTCTGGTGTAAGAACATTTTAATTAGGAGTTGAAATCACTTTTGCAGTTTTTTATTGAATGATTTTCCTCTGGGGATTTAATTAGGAGTTGAAATCAACTGGATACCATATGCTTGAAACTATAGTCAAAAGGCAACATCAAAGCATGTAATAATATACCAAATGCTGACCTATATCAAAGGTTTATTCGAATTTCAAAACTAAGTACTAATTATATGACGGAGGAATTAGACCCATAACTACAACAAAACAAGCCAATTAAGTATGAAAATCCCTATTCACCCACATCCACCTCCGCAACCGCCACAAGCTCCGCCTCAACAACCACCACCACTAGTGACACTACTAGGTGCATACTATGTACAACGTACAAGCATATATAATCTGGTTTCATTTCTCTTAACAGTTTTACCAGCGTGATATACTGGAGGAAGAATAAGCTGGCTATTTGGTACATTAATTGAAAGGCAATTTGTAACTTTTTTTTTCCTTTCTGATGGATTTGGTTTGGATTTTTGTACTTTTAATTTTCCGACTAAAAATTGTATATGAATGTCTCCATTGCTTTTCTCAGTTGGTATAACTATTTGAATGTGCAAGACATGGATAACATAAAAGATGTCAGACAAGGGATCAAATTGAAAATTGAAGTGCACGCTCTTTTCCTCAGGAAATCATACAAGAGATCCTAATTAGTCTGGTTAAATGTACTTCAGTCTGCAAGACATGGAGGTCCATGATCATAAACCGAAGCTTTATTCACCCCCACCTCAACCCGAAAGTGGACTTTGCTAACCAGAATGACATTGACCTCCTCCTACTCCACAGAATTTCTGGTAGCTGTAGCCTCACCTACTACCAAAACAATGTCATTCACAAGGTAAAAGACGATGTTCACTCTGTGCATCATGATAACCAGGCGTTTGATGTGTACTCCAAGATTGAATTTCCAATTGCCGCAAAGAAAAACTTTTGGGAATTCACATCTTCGTGTGGTTGGCACTTGTGGTGGGCTAATTTGCCTTGCGGATGATATCCCCTCTTATGCTAATATGCTTACAACTTCTTTATATGGAACCCAACCATTAGAAAGTTGGTGACCCTTCCGAGGCCTGGTATTACCTTTCGGTAGCATGGTAAGAACAATGCTTCTCTTGGGTTCGGTTTTGATGCTATGACCAATGACTATAAGGCTGTGCGACTTGTGACTTTATTGAAGGAAAATGAGCAGCCAACTCTAGCTGAGGTTTATTCCTTAGCCACGGGCACATGGAGAAATCTTGGTTGTGTTTCTCCTGCATCTCTAATAACAAAAACCGAAGCAGACGAAGAAGAAGCTTTAACAGAACCTTCAAAGTTCATCTTGAGAAATGGGGGCTTGGGCGGAAGCCATTTGATTGGAGTAGTTTGGCCACGGGATCTCCCTGAATTAGTTGATACAGAAGAAGTACTGTGCCAGAAGAACTCAACACAAGTGCGAGCAACAACTGTCAAACTTTTCGTTGGATGAGTGCATATAAGTCGAAAGAAACAATGATTTATGGACTCCCAAATCTGCTAACAAAAAGTAAGATTTTGCTCAAAGCTAGAGAAACTATGATATGAGCATTGTAATTAGTTAAACAATTCATTAAGCAATCCTGAAAAGAACCTCCATATATAGCTAAGAATTCTCAACATAGCACCAAAGAAGCTTGCATTATTAGAGAGGGCAATGCATGAAAAAGTACGAATGAAATACATAATGCCCTAAATCCTAAATACGTATGTGTTTTATTCGGCAAAATTTGTAAAAAGTACAAATGAAAAATTCGGCAAAATATACAAGCTACAGAAAAATGAGGGGTCAAAATAGAAATAAGATTTCATTATGGCGTTAAAAAGAAATTTTCGCATAAAATTGTTCCTAGGAAAGCTTTTCCAATTCATAAACCACCAGATCAACCGGAGATAAACCTTATTCAAGCTTTTAATCAGGGACGGAGATATAAATAGAGAAGAGAGATGCATTAGGATTTCAGCCGACGCGTTTCTTCTTCCGCACTATCATGTACGGAAATGAATCTCCTAGAGGCTAGAAAGGGTTCTACTCCTTTCTTCTTCACTCTTCTTCTCTAAACGTCAGCTCCACTTCTTCGGCTCTGCTCATTAGGACCAAAAATTGTAAGTTCCTAAAGTTTCTCTTTCCTTTTTCTGTCAATTTCGAAAAATCGGAGCCTAGGCGCTAGGCGGCGCCTGGGCTGGTCTGGTATTTTTTTTAAATAAAATGATGGGCGGGTCTGGTATTTCGTGTGGTCGGCACTTGTAGCGGGCTAATCTGCCTTGTGATTAGAAAGTTAGTGACCCTTCCCAGGCCTGGAGTTACCTTTAGGACGCATGGTGGGTATGATGCTTCTATTGGGTTCGGTTTTGATGCTATGACCAATGACTATAAGGTTGTGCGATTTGTAACTTTACAAAATGAAGATGAAGGGCCAACTGTAGCTGAGGTTTATTCCCTAGCCACTGGCACATGGAGGAGTCTTGGTTGTGTTTCTGCTGCATGTGGAAACAAATGGAGCTGCATCCAATGCTTTTGTTAATGAGGTTCTTCAGTGGCCTGTAGTTGGTTACACAAATGGTGATTCTTGCTATTTTATATTGACGTTTAGGAGGTGTTCGGTAAGATACCTATGCCGAAGATTATCCATTGGAATCCCAACTGGGGATTGCAATTGTCTGTTTCAGATAACAAAAAATCTATTGCTTTGTTCATGAGGCCCAACAATCGTGAAGATTTCTATATGAATTATTTGCGTGAAGAATCTGTTCTTGATATATGGGTGATGAAAGAGTATGGCATAGAGGAATCATGGACCAAATTGATTACTCTCAGTCACAAGGTCCAGAAACAATTTTCCTCAGCGCCTTTTGTTTTAGGAAGAGTGTTAAGCTCATAATTTCATACATATACATGCCCAATTTACTTACTTCTTTTGCTTAGTTTCCTATAATTTTGAGTTATTTGCCTCTATTTGTGTGTTTTGTAGGCCAATAGAGCAAGAGAGCATAATTCATGCAATTCAAGCATGTTAAGGCCTAATTTGGATGAATGGAAGAAGAGCTTAAAGACAAACTCATTTTTCCTACAGCCCCTTACCAGTCCAGTTTCGTGGGTCACATTGCAAGATCTGTTTCAGCAACCTACACAGCTCGGATGAGGCCGCATGCTTCATGAAAGTTGTTCCAATGGGTGTGTACTATAACATATCCAAAATTCAGCCCCATTAGATAACTCTGGAGTCCGTAACCTAGCAAACACTGAACCATGCTCAGGATGGATTTTTGTCAGCGAGCAAAACG